TCGTGACTCAGGTACATTTATTGGGTCTACTCCAGGCAAATCTCGCCAAAATGGCGCCTATTAAATGCATATCAAAGTACGAAGCTATAGGGATGAATTATTCAATTCGTATGTCATAAATATTATACAATACGGGGAACGTTTGCGAACGTGATACATCGACATAACGTTCAAGCTCTACCAAAGTCTATCCCGGGACTAACATTTGCATGGTGTAGGAATAGCCATAACTCTGTGATATAATAACAGAATTATGTCTTATCTTGAACTGATAATCAACGATTTAATGTGAAATATATTCAAAGCTTCACGCAAGATACATACATGCAGGAATTAAAATAGACCAGACTCTAAAATTTGAAATGTACATCACTCTCGTCATGATCTTTTGAAAAACATATTTGAATATTTACTATAAATATTTAACGGCGACTTAGTCATATTTTCTGTACTCCTTGCACTCGTGGATAAATAAAAAAATATTTATTTTTTCCAGGAAGCATTGGGTGAGTTTTCATGCTGAATTAAAACCATTGCGGAGAGGCGAGTCATCAATCGGGGGAAAAGTGGTCATAAATTGAACCGTTTGATTAATTATTAAGCCTAAGAAACGCTGCTGTTGAGACACGCAGACGCTCACAGATTCATTTGGGGCCACACTTTGAATTTTTATTGTATCAAGACGAATGTAAATTTCGATTGACGGTAAGATGTCTGTGACCGTATGGTGTTGAGACTCCGCTGTAGTCGAGGTTTGTCGACCCGCTCGAACCATTCGACGCGGTTCATTCATGTACACGATAACGGAATCCATATTCATATTTGCTCAATCTAATATGGCCGCATCTATTGTCAAATAATTACACAAACAGGCCAACACGAGACCGTGTTATTGAATTATCTAAAGTCAATATTGTATAAATCGGCGAGATCAAGTCGCCTAGCCGTTCCCTAAATGAGCATAGACATAAAAGGCATTAACTGAGAAATTTGTTTTATTTTCTGACATAAACAGCCCAAAATACATAGAATTACAACACTGAATCAAATTACTATTCATTCAATATATGAATCATTCAGTGGGCAAATCTCGTGGGGCGCCACTAATTAACACATGAGCGAGATTTGACCGCGTGACATGATTTAGAACAGCGCAAAATTTGGGTGGCCCGAGAAGGTGTGACCAGTCCGGAACCTGAGGCCGTGTATTAAGTAAACGCAAGGTCAGACTTTACATGCCATGCTGATCTCAAATGGCGAATTGGTAATGGTTGTTGAATGAATTGAAACATGCAATGCTTCTTCGAAGGGATTGGCAGATCTGTCCGGAACACGTTGCAGTCAACAACATAACACATCTATATTGCACCCCTGGTGCACATTTGCGCTTTAAATTCTCACGTGACGCCTTGAGTTCTTTAACCCGAAACAGTGTTTGTTTTCTTCTTTTGTTTTTCGAACTTGATCATGGTTTGAAAATACGCTTGAATTTGAAACTTTCATTGATAGAACAAAAATCTTACAAAGCTGACATCTAAAATTGCAAATAATGCCATTGCGATGTCACTTTGGTGGAAAACAATTAGGTACGAGCCACGTATATTGGAATATATGTAAACACCTGAAAGACTTCACGACCGAAATGTCATATTAGTTAGGCTTTCTGTGACTTCGGTTTATATGTTTATCGGTGTACATATATTTTAAAGGGTTTTTTTCACACAGTACCCTTGTTTCCTTATAACATGTTTTCTCATATGATTTTCTAATCAACTAAAAATTAAATTTAACCCCAAAAATGCAAACGTTATGAAAACTTTGCTTGGCTCAAATGGTCGTCGAATGACAGCCAACTAAATGTAGAAGTAGTCTATTATACCCATAACAACACTTTTGACTATCGTTCTCAATGAAACGTTTCCAGTGCTCACCGGGTTTTGCTGAGGATAGTCAAGTTTGAGTTGTTGTTTTTCTGCACTGATAATTCAAATTTCAATCATTCAACCGTTCATACCATCATATCAAGTAACACGACATGTTTGAAAATATATGTATAACATTTATTTTTAGAGTTCTAATTCCATAGCATTGCATTGTCGGCAAGCATTAGACCAATTTATTAGATTATGGAAAAGTAATATGAAAATTTGTACTCAACCTCCAAAGATAATTTTATAATTCTTTTTGTAATGTATAAGATAATATTTACACAGTTGTACGTCACATTTCTTCGTCAATGGTAATCTTATATACACCGCTGAGTAAAATAAAATACATGTTATCAAAAACGTTACATGGTTGAAAGCATTGCAAAGTTTAGGTTAGAAACTCAGCTATGACACCAACTATAAATTACATTACAATTGAATAATCATTTCGAGTTTTTATTTTATTTTGCATCATCAAAAACATTGGTGTTTATATACTTGCTTTTTCGCGGCAGTTTAGAATGTATATGAACCATTTCAATATTAATACACTGCTATGTTGAAAACCTACTTTGAAAGGTCTGTGTTTCTATAGCAGGGGAAAATCATTTACAATTTCAGAGCTGTATATAGCGATTTTTTAAGATTTTTTCTCACTCTTTTTCAGCAACTTTTCCTGTTCTTCTTGACGGCTCAGCAAATATGTTTATCTTTACAAGTAATTTACAATCACAAGATACAAAACACGAATACAGGGAAATATTAATCAGAACAATCATAGTGCGGGCAGTGACAGCCGCGCTACATGTGTCCTCTATCAAAGCGACATCGTCCTAGAGCCAGGTCAGAATCGCTCCCTCAAGTAAGGCCCCGACCGGCCTTGCATCAACAGTCCTATAATCAGCAACAAAACTGGGGGGATTGCACGCGGGGAAGGGACAATGGGCGCTATTAGTGACTTAGTGTGATGAATCGATGTAAGAAAAAACGGACAAAATGGTAGAAAATAGGTCTTTGAAGATCTGAGGTGTGGAGATGTATGGGGTTGTTGATGGAGCGAGAGAGCCTTCTTGTCTGAGATCCAGCTTCTCCTGGCTTAGTAAGACACTATGCATTTGTCTTGCTGGTCAAAAAAAATAATGCGATTATGGAATCGAACTTCAAAAATCTTATACTCACAAATTTTCTGTGTGTTTACGTAATGCTTAGATTCGTGCGTGGCGGTTCTAAAATATCGGCATCACATTTCATGACGATGACAATCATTGTCGTGACTGATATGGTATATATCGTACTGGATGTTTCTCTTGGTTACTGAAAAACACGTCATCATGAACACGCCATCATCATCATCATCATCATCATCATCATCATCATCCCCCCACCACTACCACCATATTGTCCTTGTCATTGTCATCTTCATCATCAACGGAAAGGAAACACCAACGAAAGAGAATAACCAGAACTCCATTTCACAAAATATCAGTGAAAATTGTATCAATGAATGAGCGATGACCACCAAAGACACTGTGTGTTCGCCGAGGAATACCCCTGTTCATCCCTGCCTGTAAATCTATAAAAATATCTTTGCTGCCTGAGAAATGACCACCACCGCCATATCATCATCATCATCATCATTGTCACTGTCACTATCACGGTGGGGTACCTAGTCGTTAAAGAAACATCCTATATCATAAATACAATATTATTGGAAACATCTCTGATTATCTTGCTAAAACAAAAACTATCAGAAACATCCTCCATCATAAATACAATATTATTGGAAACATCTCTGATTAACTTGAACATCAGCACTTCCAGACATTGTCCAATAAGCAACATTAAGTGTCAAGTCATCATCGCCATCATCATCATCATCATCATCACTATCATCATCACTGTCACTATCGTGAAAAGTAGCATGTCCCTAAATATCATTTCCGATATCTCTGATCATCCAGAACATCGGCACTACAAGCCTTTGTCCAATAATAAGTAAAATTAAGTGTCAAGTCGTCATCATCATCATCATCATCATCATCATCATCATCATCATCGCCACAACCACTGTCACTACCATCAAAAGAAACATGTTCCCAAATATCATTAACAAAATATTATTTTAAACATCTCTGATCATCTCGAGGATCAGCACAAGACGCTTTTGTCCAATAATGAGAATCAAGTGTCCAGGCAGCGTCAGTATCAACACACCCGTCGTTGTGACAACGTTACATACTAAACGCTGTGTCACTTCTATACTTGTCCCTTCCTCCGGTGACACAATTAGAACGGTACGTACAAATATATGATAACGATTTTCGGATGGTTCTTTCAAAAACTAAATAACCCTAATTCCGAGCGTGCTTAAGATAGATATTTCTAATAGATCCCCGGAAGCGGTGAAATGTACAATACATAGAGTCAATGGAAAGAGACAATAGCCGACCCTGGGTGTATCCCATTATATCGATTAGGGACGGTGTAGGATGCGAAGCACCCGGTTAAGTACTTAAGACTTAGAATGTGGGTTACCTTGAGGTATACACATATCTAATTGACCATTTGGCTCTGACTGTTTCGAACATAATGATTGAATTTATTTTAAGGTTAAAATTAGCATTTGAAAGTTGAAATTTTGCTCTTATTACCTTAACTGATGTAAATCACTCTTATAGATCAATATATTTTCATTTTTTATAATGGTGCAGGTTGACAATCTGTCTGAGTACATACTTTTAAAAGGCCGTTAATATTTTAAAGAAAGTAATTCGTCGCACATACTTTGTAGGTAAACTGACTGCTTAACACGACCTACTGTTGACCTGGAGTATCTCTGTCTCGCAAAGTATTCCTAATAGGGTTGTTTCATTGCGGAATCTTCTACTAACGGCTCCGCTATGAGGAGCCAGCGGACCGGGTCCTTATTTAACTGGCGATTTAATAAAAAAATAAATAAATATAGATACAAATATATGATCAGTTGCCGCTCAAACATTCTAAGACCATTACTCTTTATACTGATTCCGTCCATCGAGGGTTTCGGGATGTAAAGGCACTTCGATCACTCACCTTTACCGGATCCGCAAGAATGAGGTATCCTCCTCGGGGAGTTCAGCTGGAGATAATTAGAAACTCTCTCTTACAACGTGGCACCACATACTTCAACGCACGTTCATGTATCCCAATCATTGGACATTCTTAACTCCGAACATCCAAACACAAATACTCTCCAAATGAAACAATTTGGGATTTTTACGAGGTGTTTTGTATCAGTTAATTAACTGAACCAATTATGAAGACATTCAGTTATTAAGACAATTGTTCAGATGCGTGTTGGTTCTTCACAAAAGCTCTTTAAATCAAGCATGTTGTTTAAATCCTGCATGAATTGAATCGCACGTAAAGCTCACGAGGGAGGCTGCCCATGGAATAACTCTGCTTTGTTTTCCGATCACGCGGAAGGTTGGTAAAGCTTAATCGATGAATCCACCCTTGGTTTGCCTTCAGGCTTAGATCTACAAACACTTCAACAACGAGCGTTGACTTCTGCCATATAGGTAACAGTAGACGATGACGCGTGCAGCGAAGACTGGGTTTTACATTGACGGAACCGTTCCTGAAAGTCTGAGACCGTCTGTAGATATTCCGGAACTCCACTGTCACTTAATGGTTTGGTATGGAATCCGATCAGCTCTGGTTTCTGAAACACGTTCTCTGTCAGTACGTCGAACCGTGACCAGTTAAAGCTCACAGATGGTCGATCGCGCCATTTTCGATCTGATCGACCGCCAGTGCTAACACGCCATTAGAACCATTTGTTACGGCAGGTGGAATATTTACAAATACCCACATTGTTGATTATTTAAAAAATAGGCAGCATTTCAAGTTTCTTTTGAAATATTCTGAATCAGAATAAACACACCCCATGTCAGGTCTGTTTACGATTCACACCCGACTGTTCAGAATTAGGTTTTCGTTGCAGTTTCAACACACATGCGTTTATCGACATTTGAATGTCGTGAAACTCAATTATAATTCATCCGACGTGCTTCGCAAGTTTCCGATGACAAAACGATCAGCTGATTGATTCCCCGTTTGAAAGAAGTCAAACTTATGTTAACACTCCCATTTAACCAACTGCGATTCCCGAATTCTTCCAGTCATGAACAAATCATTGAAAGTTGTCGTTCGTCCTCTTGCTCCCTACAGCGTTTCCTGTCTGAAGGGTAGAGCGTGTTGCGATGAATACCCGCCTGGTGTCTAGGGATGTATATTTACTCTTGTGTCCAACAAGACACTGCTGTGGAGCTCTCGGTGCTACAACACGTTGCCATTCCTGAATATTGATCCGTATCGCTGTAAGCACAGGGTTCAGGGGTCACATATCGATCCAAGCATGCATGTGGAGTTAGCGATACTGGTTGCGTTGGGATGTGTCTCTAATGAAATGCATGCCTGTCAGTTATCAGCTGCTTTGATTGACAGGCGTCACCACGGAGGGCATAGATTGTGGCACGTGTTTTATTGAAAATATACTGGTGGCCTTGTGAGTGTTGAATATTTTCATCTAAAACACGTTCAGTTTTGCATCTTGAAAACGAATAAGACAATATCTGAACATTTACGATTTATCAAATTTGATGAATTTTTTATAAGGTACACTAAAATCAATATATATATATTAAATCGAATGTCAGTTTGACAATCATTGCATGAAATGACATCTTTATTGGTTATATGACATCTTTATTGGTGAGGCTTTTTTATGGTAGTCTAATGGTAGTGTACTAGTAATACTGACGTACTAGGGTGCTTGTAATACTGACGTACTAGGGTGTTAGTAATACTGACGTACTAGTGTACTAGCTTGTAATACTGACGTACTAATGTGCTAGTAATACTGACGTACTAGTGTGCTTGTAATACTGCCGTACTAATGAGCTTGTAATACTGACGTACTAATGTGCTGGTTATACTGACGTACTAATGTGCTGGTAATACTGACGTACTATTGTGCCTGTAATACTGACGTACTAGTGTGCTGGTAATACTGACGTACTAGGGTGCTTGTAATACTGACGTACTAGTGTCGCTTGTAATACTGACGTACTAATGTGCTGGTAATACTGACGCACTAATCTGTTGGTAATACTGACGTACTATTGTGCCTGTAATGCTGACGTACTAGTGTGCTGGTGATACTAACGTACTAGGACGCTGGTAATACTGACGTACTAGGGCGCTTGTAATACGTGTTCGTAATATAATACTGACGTACTATTTGTGTTTGTAATACTGACGTACTAGTGTGCTAGTAATACTGACGTACTAGTGTGCTGGTGATACTAACGTACTAGGACGCTTGTAATACTGACGTAGTGTGCGTAGTAATACTGACGTACTAGTGTGCTTGTAATACTGACGTACTAGGGTGCTTGTAATACTGACGTACTAGGGTGCTAGTAATACTGACGTACTAGTGTGCTAGTAATACTGACGTACTAGTGTGCTAGTAATACTGACGTACTAGTGTGCTAGTAATACTGACGTACTAGTGTGCTAGTAAATCTTACGTACTAGTAACTCGGACGTGCTAGTAATACTGACGTACTATTGTGTTAGTACTACTGACGTAACCAGTACCATAAAACATATTCCTACATTTTACACATTTCAATTAAGTCTGTAGAATAGTTATTAAAGAGAAAAACATATTTGAAATCGAATTATATTTTTCCGCCTCAAAATACGTCTACTTGCGCGCAAAACGGATGGAGGATTTGCTATGACTCATTACGTTTAGTAACGAACAGCGTAGTCTTAACGTCTGCAAAGATGCCTTGATTCTCCTGACGTTGGAATAATTCAAAGATCAGATCACAGGTCACAGATCACACACTACAGCTCACAGCACACAGTTCACAAGCTGATTCAAATGGTGGTCCTACCACATCGGTCTCCCATTTGTTCTTTTGAAGACAAACTGGGTCACATGTCCAATGCATAAATGCATGTAAAGCTTATTGCCCGTACACGTAGATAACATAAAACAGTCCCAACTCGCAATGGCGTTGTTGGTATTCAAATTGTCGTTCTGACTCATAGAAACCATGTAATATTCGATAAATACGATGACAGGCGCCGGGTGGTTTAGTGGTTAAAGCGTTCGCTCGTCATGCCGGTTCGATTCCCAACGTGATAATGTGTGACGCCCAAGTTTTTGGCCTAAGATTTTGCTGGAATTTTGCTGAAAGCGGCGTAAAACCATACTCACTTATTCTGCTGTATATCGATGCTCATGATATCAATCACTGGACTGTCTGGTCCAGACTCGATTCATTAGAGACGTCAAACAGCAAGCAAACTGTATATTTATGTTCCACTGCCGATCAGACGCCAATGTTATCATAGATTTTAATGCTTATTTTTGTTGTTGCTTTTTATGCTTATATTCAGCCATCGTACAGCAAGGAGATCAATGGCCAATCGGAATGTGACTTTTCAAAGAGTGAGTGAGTGAGTGAGTTGGGTTTTTCGCCGCTTTTAGCAATATTCCAGCAATATCACTACCCCACCGCCCCAATTTTCAAAGAGACAAAAATCTGCAGCCATACATCAGTATTATCTTCAAAGTATATATCAACCATAACATGGTTCAAGTGATAAACATCTCTCGAATCAGTTGACAATGCGACAAGAGACAACAAACCCCTATGCGACGCGGAATCAACAGATGGTTCATGGCTTCCCTGTTGTTGTATAATAACACTATTTCAGGTAGATAATTTGTTAAGAATACCAAATGAGCAAGTAAAGGCGCCTCCGTGGTGGCGTGGGTAGAGTGTCTGTCCGTAGAGGTTCGATCCCAGCCCGCGTCAAACCACGATACGCTTAAGATGGTACTTGTTGTTACCCTGCGCTCAGCATTAATGGGATAGAACCACGACTGGTTGGTAGTCAGTACGTCGTGTCTCACTGGGGCGGTGGGGTAGCCTTGCGGTTCAAGCGTTCACTCGTCACGGCGAAGACCCGGGTTCGATTCCCCACATGGTTACATTGTGTAAAGCCGATTTCTGGTGTCCCCCGCCGAGATATTGCTGGAATATTACTAAAAGCAGCGTAAAGCTAAACTCACTCACTCACTCACTCATTCGTGTCTGAGTGGAAAGTCAATGTTAAACTGAGGATGACATGTCTGCGTGGTGGGACTATAAAACCGGTTTACGTCCATACCCATGGGTACATGCGCGCTGCTCTTTAAGTGCAATAATCATGAACGCTACGTGCTCCTTCACCCACCCACCCATTTCACCTCCTCCCAAGGACATCTCACCGTGATCCAGCCCGACAAGGACACCCAGGCGTCTAGAAAATCGATTTAAACGTTTACCATCACGAGGAATTTTCATCTTAAAATGTCAAGAATATATTTCTATTGTCATTCAATCTTTATGTAACATTATTATAGCACATCTTTATCGATCGCAGTCTTCCGTTGATCGATAGCCATTATGGGTGAAGTACGGTGATCGATATTTTTGAACTTGGACAAAAGAATTAACACACCCTCGTCAAATGTCAATAGTGTGTTTACGACAAAGTACACACATCTGGGGATTGTTTACAGATGTACCTTTCAGAAAAAATGTACATGTTTACTATTTTAGTAGTTTCTTAATGGACGTAAAATGACTGGGATGGGACTTTTTGACGAAGACGTTTCAGATGTTGGTTGGTTGGTTTGTTGTTTTACGCCGCAGTAATCAATATTCCAGCTATATGGCGGCGGTCTGTAAATAATCGAACCTGAACCAGACAATCCAGTGATCAAAAGCATCAGCATCGATCTACGCGTCAACCAAGTCAACAAGCCTGACCACGCGGACCCGTTAGTCGCCTCTTACGACAAGCATGGGTCGCTGAAGATCAATTCTAACCCGGGTATTCACTGGTCTGTACGTTTCAGAATACACGTGTCTGTTTTCGATTTATATGCTTTATTAATGGACAGAAAATCGATGTGTATATCTTACGAAGATGAGTATTTCTGAGCAAATGATTTTGTTTTCTTTTTCGTAAATTAATGGTTTTAGTAAATCTTGTAAATATCTTTACAGTGGACATGAAGGACAAATTTCAAAATTGTCTGATGCAGTTTTCTGTTTTGACGTGTATTCTGGCATTTTTCAAGTGAACAATTGACATGGCTTTGCTTGTGTTTGTGATAGTGTCATCATAAGGGCAGGATACACACCCCTGTTTTGCCGGTAACACTTGATATTGACATACTTTTGCTGATGGTAAACGTCATACTAGTACAGCTGGTTTGTGCCATTAAAATAAATTTCTAATGATTAGGGAATTGGCTTTGATTCGACGGACGAAAACCAACGAAGAGCACACATATCTCTGTTGTCGCATTCGATCCCCTGCCGCGTCATACCAAAAGACGTTAAAATATGGTACTTGTTGGTCCCTGCCTGGCGCTCGGCATTATTGAGTACAACAAGGACTGGTCGGCTCGGAGTCAGTATAATGTGTCTGAGTGGAGTATTCATGCTTAACTGCGGCATGGTATCTCAGTGGGGCTAGCACTATAAAACCAGCTTAAGTCTGGGCTAGTACAAGCAGCCTCACATACACATACACACGCATGCACGTCGTCATATGAGCGAAATATTCTTAAGTACGACGCTAAACCCCAGTTCAACTCACCTCACCTGCTGTCGGACGAAGACCGACGAAGAAGTGTCACTTTAACGGTGATGTACATTTCTGCACACATATCTCTGTTGTCGATTTCACTTTCCCTACTGGCATCCGCCTACTCATTGTAAACTCGTCATCGCTTGGAAACCAGACTTCAAAGGCGCCGACCTTTTGTCTACTGAGACGCACGTCGCTGAATCAGCAGCTGCATCGGCAACATACTACATCATCTTCTACAACTGAAAAACAAGCGACTACACCACCGGATCCTTTAATGGTGATTAGAAACTGTTTACATCTCGAACCACGGAAGGCTGACAAACTACGGTTTTTTTTAAATTTGGAACACAAACCCGCTTATGTTCTCGATGTGAAGCGATCTTTTAAACCTTAAAGGTTATCCTTTGTGATAACACTTGATCAATTAAAATTTGATCCCGAATACAAAATATTTGTTTTGCTATGATAGATATTTAATTTTTAGGTTTTGTTATATCTGCTATATAACATGGTTACATGGTCTATAAGGTTTATATAACTTGCTCTATAACACTGCATACTTGTTGTGAATGATAATT